TGACTTTGCTGGTCCATAGGCAAGTGCCAAAGAAAGATGCCTCTGCCTCCCCGTGAGCAAACCTAAACAATGGGACCCACTTTGCCTCTCGACACACGGCAGACTGGGAAAGGGGGGGTGTTCAGCTTTCCCATCTCTGCAGTACAAGAAAGCAGGCCTGCAGCAAAGGGGAAGGAAGGTTCGGGGGTAATTCACAGCATCATCCACCGTCACTGGAGTTGCCGGGCTGCGGACACGCCAGGCGCCCAGTTAAGTTTGCATGTCAGGTCCACAGATATGTTCATGGTATAAGTATGGCCCAACCGTTTCATGGGACACCCTTATACGAAAGCATCATTTATTGTTTATCTGAGATTTAAATTTAACGGGGGTACCCTGTATTTTAACTTGCTAAATCCTACAACTCTAATCACAACGCTGTGCACACTGCAGCTAATTTCCGTTTCTTTCTTGTTGAGATCACAGGAGAGGGTAGGGCAGAAAGTGAGCCCTCAACTTCATGACCATGGAATCGTCCTGATCCTGTCCATGCACCGTGTCTGATACAAGCAGCAGGAAAGGCTCAGTAACAGGGGCTCCCAACCACATCATAGGGGCCAAAGTCAAGTTTGGGAAGACAGAGCGAAGTCAGACGCTGGGCTAAGGAGGGTGGTGTAGTCCCCGGATGTCTGAATGAATTTACCCGGCACTCTCTCTGTCCCTCAGGGGGGCTTTCTGTCTGTAAAGCTCTTACACACAGAGGTATGAGCCACAGGCCTCGCTTTCAGGGTGGCTTCCGCACAACCCAGGGGAGGAAATACAAAACACTGGGGAAGTGAGCACATGATGAGCATCTCAGAAAGCCAGTCCACAGGGTTCTGAGTGGGAAGCCCAGGGGTTGTGGGGGCGGGGATGGGGGTGGTGGTAAGCTGGGCTTTACATGACAGGTGAGAGAAAGGAGGGGGAAGGGCTGAGCAAAGCCAGGCCTGAAGACCAGATGGTGGGCATTGGCGGGCGGTAACAGGGGCTGACACGTACAAGGCCCTCAGCACGGGCAGACTCCCGTCTGAGAACTGCACAGCTCACAGCCTCGCCAGCACCGTGAAGGACGCGTACAACTATCCTCATCTTACAAAGAGGCAAATGCAGGTAGAGGGAGGGAAGTTTGTTGCTCAAGGCTATGCAGCTGGTAAGTGGAAATAATACCAGAAAGGCAGGCTCAGCTCAGGTTGAGGGGAGCCTTGCATATCCAAGCCGGAGAGTGAAAGTGATGGCACGAACGTGGCTTGGATGCCAACCGTGTGCGAGACACTGGGAACTTGAGAGACAAGTGAGCCACCACCTCAGACAGGCTGGCAGGACATGGCCAAAACCCAGGAGAGGGCCTTTGATTTAGAAATTCTACCTGGAAAACCTTCATCCTAATCATTAAAGACTCTCTAGCTCTGAATACCGGTGGAGTGTTTAGCTATAAAGATCTCATTGCAGCCCTGGCTGGTGTGGCTCAGTGGTTGAGTGCTGGCCTGCCAACCAAAGGGTCGCCAATTCTATTCCCAGTCAGGGCACATGCCTGGGTTGCAGGCCAGGTCCCCAGTAGGGGGCGCATGAGAGGCAACCACACATTGATGTCTCTCTCCCTCTCTTTCTCCTTCCCTTCCCCTCTCTAAAAAATAAATAAAATCTTTTAAAAAAATATTTCATTGCAATATGACTTATAATTGCAGAATTTGGAAACTAGAGAAATGTCCAAGTATTAGTTAAATAAATGATAGTTCAGCCATACATGTAAGTCATGTTGTAGAATACAGAAAAATATTTATTGATATGGAAATATGCTGATGACCTGTTGTTGAGTTTCAAAAGGAGGATTACAAAATAGTATGGTCCTGTGTGTGCGTGCATTTTTTAATCTGAAAGGATACTGCAAAGTGTTAATAGTGGTTACCTTAGCCTTGGGTAATACTACTATAGACAGTTTTTCTTTTATTTCTTCAATTCTATAAGCATTGAGTGCCCACTAGGTGACAGCCACAACGCTGGGTGTCACACACACAATGGTGAATAAAAGCACGTTTACTCCTTGCCTCACGGACGAATGCATGGGCAATTAAGTAACTGCACAGATAAAATTAGAACGTGCAGTGGAAGAATGAAGAAAGTTCTGTGATAATGGAGGGGATTCGGCTGAGGACACAGGAGGACTTGATGGGCAGGGAAGACCTCTGACACTTCAGTCGAGACCTGAGGCTGAAAGGAGACCACCCCAGGATGGGCTGGGGCAGTGGGTGCCCAGCGAGCCGCCCCCACATGTGCAAACGCCCCGCGCTGCAGAGCACTTTCCAGACCTAGAAGGTCCATGTGGGCGGAGCACAGAAATTTGTGTTTTCAGAGCTGGGCCTTGTAGATGGTGGAGGACCCTCCTGTCAGGGGGCTGCTGTTCTTCCTGTATTAGATTCTTTCTAAAGCACCACCCTCCCAACACACACACACACACACACACACACACACACACACACACACACCCTAAACTACCAGACCTCAAGTTCTGTATGGATTCCAGGCTCAGAGACTCTACCAAGCAGGCTGGCTACTCTTTGGGGGATTCTGGTAACAGCCAGCATTTACCAACATGCCTTAAAATTGTTGTGTGTGGCAGTGATGTGTGTGTGTGTGTGTGTGTGTGTGTGTGTGTGTTTTGTTTGTTTAAACTAAGTCACTGCCTCCCACTTCCTGGGAGAGACTCATTCTCACACCAGATTTTTAGAAAATCTGGTTGATGAAGTGAAATAATAATTGTTAAGGAACAGGTAAATCACTGTTTTGGAAACATCTATGTACTCTAACTCCCTGGGAGGGAGTACAGCAGGATCCTTCTTCCAAAACCCTATATTTCAAGCCCCTCTACATGAACTGTCACCTTAGGGGAGAGTCCACACAGAATATCCAAGTATTGTGTAAGGTCACAGACTTAATAAAGAAAACTGTAAGATGCTTTGGGACCAAAGCTCAGCTCTGGCTAAGAGTCCGTGTTCCGCAATCGCACAGGCTGCCCGCTCACTTGCCCATCGCTTTCCTGCGTCTGTACCAGGGGCTGGAGAAGCAGGAGGCCGGAGCCCTAGCGTTGCAGCCGGAGGGGGAGGGTGGAATTTCCACGGGAGAAGCTACCTGATAACAGTGCAGGCAGTGAGGGTGGTGCTGTAAGTAGTCCTGGGACCTGCTGAGACCCTAAGCCGCCTCACCTCCCTCCACCATCATGGCAAACCCTGGAGGCGGCACAAGTAGTGTCCTCGCTTACTGGATGAGCAAACCGTGGTTCCCGAGGCCAGCCTGCAGTGGACTCAGACGCACAGTCTGCGCTTCGCCTCTGGTTAGCTGATTAACTATCAATCAGGAAAATAAGACAAGAGCTCATGGCAGTGCCTAGGAGACGAGAGCTAGGTGGGCGAATCTGACTTGAAGCTGGTCTTTACAAAGGGGACGACCCACAAGGACTAGAGGGTGCCACTCCGAGGTGCCCAGGCATCCTCAGGAGAGGCCTGGCAACACACAGGTCCTGCCCAGTCCGTGGGGCTGGGGCGGGCAGCTGCATTTCACCAGCTCCCAGGTGAGACCCAAGAGACTGGAGGAGGGAGGGGAGGGCTCCTGGAAGAGCTGGGTCTTAAGTGATTTGGGGACAGGGAAGGCCAGCACAAGCCATGTTTTCACTTTTTTGAACTACAAGCCCTCTCCTTGGAGGATGGCACGAGTGAGTTTGAAGCAGTGTCAGGGGTCTATATCCCAGAAGCCACCACGCCAGTGAAGAGCACCTGACTGTTAGCCCGGCCCTCTCTCTCCCAGGTGCCCCCAGAAGGGGGTGGTGCTGGGACTTGGGCCCAGGTTTCACTGAGCCCCAAGCCCGTGTTTTACCTTGTTATTCTCATTGCATAAATCAAAAGGCCTGAAGATTAAAAGCCATGTACCCCCAACCCCCACCATGCACAGCAGGTTCTATCTCTTCATCCTTTCAGATTGGAAGGAGTCTCCAGTTCTGGAAGTGGGTTGTGGGTACCCCTGCCGTGAGCCCCTATGGCAGCCAGGAGGGAAAAAGATGTAGCAAGCTGCATCATTAGGGACAAGTTCAAGTAACCTTGCAGCCAGCCCATCATTTTGCTCCCGCATACACCTACTTGCCTGGTGGCTGCCTGCCACCCCAAGGTGCCCAGCCAGGCCAGCCCCTAACCCCACAGCCAGGTCCCAGTACTGACTCTACCCTGCCAACCTCAAGCTTGTGCACGGTAGTGACAAAAAGCCAACCCACTCACCTGCAGACCCAGCCTCATGAAACCCCCCAGCACACCAGAATCCAACTGTCACCACAGACCCTTTATTTCGAAAAAGGGTTTATCCTAGGGCTCATTTAAATAGACCTGCTCCCCCAGATCTGAAATACAGCCTGGCACCCCAGTATCCCAGCACATGGGGCTGGAGGGGTGCATGTCTTTGCTGAGCTTACTTCCCACTGATTTCCGTGGCCCCGTGCATCAGAGCCCACTGACCTGTGCAGAAACACCCACGTTCCCCCTGCCCGCCCAGACCTTCGTGAAGCCATCAGTCGGTCTCCTCAGCCTTCGAGAGGGTGGCTGGTTGGCATGGAGCTCAGGGGTCGTCTGCCCCACTGGACGCTCCAGATCCACACACCCCTTCCTGAGGCTCTTGGCCTCTGAGACGCCCACGGAAATTCAGGTGCTCCCCGGAGGATCCCGTGTCAGCCCCTCATCACCTGGGCTTACCTGGAGACACCTGCTTGGGAAGGAAGGGCCGACTGGAGATGACCCCAGGGAGACGTCTAGGAAATGCAGCCTACAGTCTGCTCCACAGCAGGAATCCTCCGCCAGCACCCAGGGCCGGCCCGGGCCAGGGAGGAGCTCAAGGTCTGCTCGGGGACGGGCTCCAGCAGGTGGGAGGTTAAGCACAGGTGTTCACACACACAAGGGTGCCTCCGCCCTGCCCCCTACCCTGGGAATTCCAAGACGAGGCCAGTGTTTTGAAAAATATAAAATTTTAATAAAGGCTACATCTCTTAATTACAATAATTATTGTACCAAGTAATTTTCCTTAAATGAACTCTTTATAATGCATAATTTACAGTATAAGTAGAACAAAATGCCATGGCAAAAGTCATTGAGTACAAGACTTGTAATAAAAAGGCATAAAATATATTTATACATAAACCCCTTTCAAAAAACAAGGGAAAGCTCGAGCCCTCAATATAGGGCGACACACGGATGGGGACACCGTGCAGGTACAGGTACTGTACTGGTTCAAGGTCAAGCACTAGAGATAGTGGATTAATACTCTTTGCCGTACGATATATACAGACGTATGTACAAGTGACGGGGCAAACAGGGTGTACAGATTAACTTAACACAAAAACCCGGACGCCAGGTGGAGGGGTCTGGAGGAGAAAGGGTGCTGCTGGGTCTTCCCACAACTGTTCCCTTCTTTGCAGGGCCAGGGGGGTGGGGGTGAGGGGGGCAGTTCCCAGGATGGCTGCGGCCCCAAGAGTAATTGAAAAACAAAGACTCCAAGGAACAGTTATTTCAATAAAAGCACAAGTTGAACCACAGCGCTGTTCTAGGCCTCAGCCATGGGGCCCTGGTCCTCCCAGGGGGAATCCAGGGCCCCCCCAGAGGCCCCCCCAACTCAGCAATGACCAGCCCATCCAACAAGATGACCCCAAAATGGTGGTATTATTGCAACGTAAGTCAAACCTCAAGACCTTTATGACAAAATACAGCAGCGTAGAAAATAAATGCACCAATTTCTGTGTTGTCAATGGTAGGGCACCGTTAAAAAAAAAAAAAAAAGCCTATCTTCACTTGGAGAAAACGCAGGGCCGAGCATAATTCCTCTTTTAATGCAGAAACCATTCATGCACTCCGAGCTCAACTCCTAAGTTTAGACAGAACAACAAAAACGTCCCATCTCCCCCTTCCGTGGTTAAAGCAGCATATCCATAAACTGGGGGCAGGGGTAAGCAAGTGTTCAATAAATATCAGTAAGGGTTCCTGTTCAGGTAAGCTATACACAGTTTCTCTTAGTTTATGGATTTCAGATCCCTAGGAAGTCATATATTATGTATGGCGGTCTCTCAGACACAGTCAGCATCTTCAACAGCCAAGAGTGGTCATATTTTTAATAAATAGTTCAGGCTTTTCTTATCTCAGTACCCAGCTTGTGAATAATGAAAACCAACCTCCCCCCAACCCTCCTGAAGGCGCAGTGGCCAATTCTTCCCTAGACTTTGTCTTCATTGGTTTTTTCTTCCTTCAACACGTTGCATGGCGGTCGCTCTCGCCCCAGACCGTGGTGCGGGCTCCAGCCCCACCACCGGCTGCCGCCAGGTCCATGAGGCTCAGTCGATCCTCTCCACCTTCCCCAGGATCCTGCCTTCGTACATGGGGAGCACGGTCTCATCGTCCCAGACCTCCTCGAACACCGCTCCACAGGCAAACTCGTCGCTTGCTTTTTTGAAGTAATACCTTAAAAGGAAAACCCCAAAATCATCTTGGTAAAACTGCACTTTCCTGTCAAGGAACGGCATGTCAACACGAGGACTGTGGCAACCCTAGGACTCTGCCACGGCAGGCGTGCAGGGAAACCTCGGCCCCTCTGACCGAGATGACCCCACAGCTCCCGGGGCTGGTCCGCCGGCACAGACGGGGGGGGGGCCCGGGCGCTCAGGAAGAAGCTGGGCACCCAGCGAGCAGCAGCCTGCAAACAGCTCGGAGGCGGCCTCCAGCCCAGGACTGCTGCAGTCACCGCCGCTCACGCTGTGAACAGCGCACTTCGTAGAGCACAGCTGCTTCTTGCTCCCCCTTTTTATCGGGGGCAGGGGCCTGGAGTTTGTTTGCTGCTGCTGCTGCCGCAGCTAAAAGGGGCATTCCTTCAAAGACCCCAGACTGAGCCACCCTGAACTGTGGGAAGCAGACTCCAGCCTGTTTGGACGCCGACACCTCTTGGTCTTCCCACCCTCCAGCACCCAGGTGCCAACTCCTCAGCTGGTCTCTGGGTCAGCCACGGGACAGCCACCCCTCCCTCCTCACCCCCACCCCTCCTCGGCCAAACAGGAAGGCCCTTCTATTATGCCTGTTGATTAAAGGTTCCTTTTATCCCACCCCAGCCTTCTGTCTTATAAGGCTGTTTAATTGTACGGGCTCAAACGAGCCCCCTCTCACAGGCCGGCCTCCCTCAGGAAATGGCTGTCCTCCCAGGCCCCTTCCCAGGAAGAGAAGTGAAGGCCTCTTCCTTCTCAGTCCCCAGCAAGGGACACCCCCTCGATGGGATGAAACTCGCCCCTACATGCTATTGTCTCCACCCGATAAAGGCCACTCAGAGGGAGAGTCACAGTCCCCTGGGGGGAGGGGAGACAGCCTCCCTAAAAAATTTAATTGTGTCTCAGGGTTATGGCCATATTTTGTTTTTGTCTTTTCTCTTAAAATTAATTCCCCTTGGTTAGAGCTGAGTTTTTTTCTTCTTCTTTAATGAAGGCAAGCCAAATACTTTCATAGGAGATAAGGCTAAATAAAGTGAAACAGCTGGGTTTAGTCAAGGCTCTTTGTTTTTAGCATTCCCGGCAGAGCCGCAGCATGGCTCTAACGGGTCAGCGGTGGGAAGGCTTCCTACGGAGGGTCGGAGGGTCCGGGTATCTGGGGTGGGGGTGGGGGCCGGGAAGAGATGGCGAGAGAGTGGGGAGGGGCACCGGGCACGGGAGACCCTGGACAGTGGGGAAGAGTTACTTTTCCAAATACGAGGCTCCAATTCCAACATACCCCTCTGCTCCAAGCGCCAGCCCCCACTCAGGTCCACCGAGCTGGGCTTTCTCAGCAAACAGGCAATGATGACCTTTTGCATAATTGCACCCTCTTCCAGAGAGGACAGAGGCCATGTTCCCCCAGCCCCACCCCCGAGACTTCAAAAGTGCTTGCTGCCCTCCTTTCCTCCAAGACACGGGCTTTTCCACACTGCCACGGGCTCTATGTGGCAAACTCCGCTTTCTTCTGACATCTGGCACCAATAGCGCCTGGCACGTCTGGAGGGGCTGTTCTGTTTTTGAACCTCGGCCATGGAGAGATTACTCAATGCAGCCCGGGTCCCCCGCTCCACAGACCCATGTTCGCTGGGCCTTATCCTGTGGGGGGTGTGGGGTGTGAACTGAGAGCTGGAGCATTGCCCCTGCTGGGGGCGAAGCATGGCACCCTGTGCCCCCGAGACCATGGAGGATGGGGCATCAGGCCTCAGCCAGGAGCTCACGGAGATAAGGACGCTGGGAAGGGCCTGGCCACAGCCTGATCCAATCAGTAAAGAATCTGAGCGTCGACCATTTGTGCAAGTCTTTGTGCATTAAAGGGGAGGCCGGGGCTTCAAAGCCAGGCTTATTAAGTGTGCCTTAGAAAAAAAAATCAGAGCCAGATGTGGACGGAGCGGCTAAGCAGGGAGCCTCCCCTGCAGCCTCTCTGCTCGGCGCTCCACGGCCCTGCTCCCCAGAGGTCACCTGCAGTTCCCCTCGCAGTCCCGCCAAGCCCACGCTCAGATCAGAACGGACCCCTAAAGGGGCGTGCTCGAGTAATTAGTTTCACCGTGTGTCTGGTCAAGATTTTTTTTAAAAAGCAGCAGCCTGGCCCATCCTCCAACCCCTGACACATTTTCAGAATTGTCTCAGCCCAGGTGTGAAAAAGAAGGCTCAATACCCAGCACCACACCCTGCTCTCAGCCACCTCCCTTGCCCTGAAAAAAAGGAATCACTTGCACCCCCCCCCGCCCAAAATCAGCTCCCAGGTGGAGGTGGCTGCTCAGGAAGGGGCGGGTCTTGTGGCCCTGGACTTGGACTTGCCTGGGTCCAGAAGCCCGTGGCCACCTGGCAGGTCACTGAGTGCTCTCGAGGTCCCCCACTCCCATCCCCGGCTCGAGGCAGGACTGGGTGGACACCTTCTAGACACACGCTGTGCTCCTTAAGCTGTGCCTGGTGCTGCACTTGCCTGTCCCTTGTCCCAGCCCTGCATCTGAGACACAGCTGGAGCAGAACCCACACACTCCCTTGGGATGAAGGCCACTGAGCAGGGGCAGGCAGGACTCTGGATGAACTAAGGTGGAGTCACCCCCTGTCCCCAGTTGAGAGAACATGAACAAGAAATGGGGCCCCTGGCTCTTAACCCATCCAGGTCCCTGGAAGGCCTGGTGGGCATGGCCACTGTGCAGACAGGGGAAGGCAGCCCGGAGGGTGGGCAAGCTCCCTTCCCAAGGCCCCTGTCCACCTGGCACCCACCCGCAGGGCCTGCCCCCTCCTTGTTATGGACAAAGAGCGTCCTGCTTCACAAGACCCCACATGGCAGAGGGAAGCAGTCATCCGGGCAGAAAAGCTGAGTAAGGAGAATGCTGCTCCCACTTCCAGACAACGGCCTCTGCCCTTCCCCGACCCGTCAGTGTGGACAGTCTCTGGTGCCCACAACAGGACAGCAGTCTTTCGGGCTCCTAATTGGTCTGCCCAGCTGTGTGTCTGTGTGTGTGTCTGTCTGTCTCTCCCTCCTACCTCTCTTCCCTTTTAGACAGAGCCCCACAGACAACCCAGGCCCAGTTCTTGCGACAAAGCCAACCGCCGCCTTCCTCCTCGGCGCTCTGTTCACCTGGTCCACAGAGCCCCCCCAGCAGCCACTGCTGCGTTATTTCTGTGAGTGGCCAGCGGACAGGCGCTCCCGTGGCAGCCCGGGGCACTCCCGGCCCCTCCCCCGACTCTGGTTCCCAGTGGTGAGCAAACAAACTCTGGAGCAGAAAGAAGCCACAGGGCTCTCACCTATAATTTCCCTTTTTGCTGAGCTGCTCTTTAAAGTGGCCCAGGGTCAGGCTCTGAGCCTTCAGCATCCTCCTGTATGGGATTTCTTCTCCACAGAAAAAGTAAGTGACGACCAACTCGCTGGCCTGGAGCGCGTGGACCCCTGCTGGCTTCTTTGGCTCTTTGTGACTGAAAATAAGATGCAACGAAAGCTCAGCATTTGAAGGTGGCGAGCGAACACACGCAAACACACACTGTGTACGCTCTCCCAACACCGTTTCCGGCTGCAGGCTGGGGGCCCATGTCACAGAGACAGCCACCTCTGGCGAACACAGACCAACTCCAGGCCACCAGTGAGGGGCACACAGGAGGGGACAATTCCTTTGGTTGTACAAATTGCTACTGTTTCTCCTGCTACCACCTAAAGGGGGGACAGGGCAGCCTCTTTCAGGTTGGCACACAGGGGGTGCTTGTCATGAAGACGACAGAGAAACCGTCCCAGAGCGACGGGACACTCGCCAGCAGGGGACGCTGTAGAGACAAACTCAGAGCACCCCCAAGAGGGCAGGGACCCGGAACACTAGAGCCCACTGGGGGAGCCCAGTCATTTCCACTTCCCCGTTTATTCCAAGATTTTGTAGAGTGGCTAAAAAAAAAAAACAAGATCCAGGCCAGAACAGCTGGTAGACTTAAGGTCAACCAATTAAAACAAAAGGGCCCAGGGAGGGTGGTGGCTTATTCAGGGCTGCAGACATTGCTCATTGCTCAAAATAAAGAAGCTAAGAAAACATTTTTAATTATTTAGACCATTTTAGATCCCTTCGGTGGATTTCTTTTTCAGTGTGCCATCCTGTACTTAAACGAAGCCAGGCTTCTCTGTCCACTTCGTAAGAGTGCACATTTACGAAAGGAGCCACGGCACCATTGGGGGGATACCGCTTTCCACAAGCAAAACAGCGAAGACCGTCTCCCTCCATCTCTGCACTGGGGCAGAGCCAGCTCCCTGCTTTGTGCACATAGTGGGGCTTCCAACTTGCCAACGGGCCAGCCGAAAGGAGGTGACTTCTGCATCTGGGCTCGGGGGCCCCTGGGTCTGTCTGCTCATGGCTTCGCACCTCAGCTTTCAAAGAGTGTGTGCCGGGAACCCTGAGCCACCCGTCACTTTGGGAGGGAACACTTGTGGACAAGCCACAATGTTTTGCTCAGCACAGGCAGGGTTTTCAAGATCCTAATTGATAGCCCGGGCTGGTGTGGCTCAGCGGACTGAGTGCCGGCCTGTGAACCAAGGGGTCACCGGTTTGATTCCTGGTCAGAGCACACACCTGGGTTGTGGGCCAGGTCCCCAGTAGGGGGCGTGTGAGAGGCAACCACACATTGCTGTTTCTCTCTCCCCCTTTCTCCTTCCCTTCCCCTTTGTCTAAAAACAAATAAATAGTTTTAAAAAGAAAAAGATCCTAATTTATGGCAACATCTGCGTCTAACCATCACTAACATGTTAAAATTGAGGTGATTTCATATATTAACAAATGTTTTCAAAAATCTCCACTCCCAATGGTGAGCACTAACTGGAAACCCCGGGTGGGCCTCAGCAGGGCCAGGCAGGGACACTCACTCTTCTGCAGCCAGGCTTGGGGTGGAGAAGGGTGTGGCTCCCGTCTGACCAGTGGCCACGTGGCTCCTGTCCCTCTGCTGACTGGCCATGCAGCACCTGAGGACGCAGCCGGAGCGAAGCGTTCAGAGGCAAGCCTGCTTAAGCCTGCCGTCCCCAGGGCAAATGCAGGGCAGACGGATAACGACCCTCTGCAGCCTTCTGAACACAGACCAGACTTCCGTCCATGGGGAGACCCAAGCAAGGCTCTGTGCTGACAGTGGCTGCAGGAGGTCTCGCACATGACTTGGGCGCTGCCATCCGCAGTCCCCGTGGGAACCCAGGCCTAGACTCTGCCAGCCCAGGCCAAGGGCTGAAGGCCCTTGATTTCCAATCAGTCAGCCATGGCTTCTTAAGCTCTCATCTAACCAGGCTGAAATGATGCAGACACTCATAAGGGACAGGATTTGTAAAGAATCACTGAATGAGTTGCCCAACACACCCTGGTTAGCGCTTCAGGACGAACTGAACTGAGGGGAACCAGGTTGGAAAGCAGGTGCTGTGCGGCCAGAAGCCCTCCTCCTCCCCCAGGAGAGACAGAGCCCCAGCAGAAAGGAAGGCCCTTCCCCAGCAGCAGGCCCGGCCTCCACGTCCACACCCAGTGCCGCCTTTCACCTCCGATGCCGCCTCCACTCACCGCTGCTTTGGGGGTTTCGACACCTCCGCCAGCCTGCGGCACGCCTCCTCCAGCTGCGCCAGGGTGTTGGGAGGGGTCAGGGGAGGCATCGCAGGGTCCTGGGTGAATGGGTGGGTGCGGGGGGTGGCTCGGGGGTGCCCGCTGCTGCCCCCCCACAGGTGGTGTCGGCCTGCTCGCTCGGCTGGGGACATGCGGGCCGATTCCAAGGGGTAGGCCTTCTTTGTGCTTTGGGCACTGAACAAGGAACAAGAAGAGAGAAAGCAGAAGGAAAGAAACTGGGTTAGAAAAACTGGAAAATGTGACTTCAAGAGAAACTTTTCTGTTCTGCCTTCAGGGAGAGAAGAAAAAAATAACTACCATAACACGAACAGGGGGGCGTTGCCAAAACATGGCATTTTTGTGGTCCGCTCAGTCCAACATTTAATATTAAGATGGCAGGAGCTAACAGTCACATTTATTTCCGGCCGACGACAAAAATAGCCAACCCCACAATAGCTCCGGTGACGGCCCCGACCCTCCTGGGGGTGGTGCTGGCGGTGGCGGTGTTTACCTATGGGGCTTGGGCTTGCTCGGCCGCTCGGTCTCCAGCACCCACTGCCAGACATCCTGCGACCTGTCTCCTTCCTCCCCCGGCAGCTGCAGCGCCCCCGCTCCGTCCCTGGCGGCCAGGCTGGGCTCAGGGGCTCTGCCATTGCGCTTGGGCAGGGTGCCGCCTCTGCTGCCGCTGTGGGGAACCAAGACCACAGCCCCTTACCTCTCTGGGACTCCCCCACCAGACAGGTGGGAAGGTGGTGGGGACACATGCACCTGCTCCCCCGCACCCCCCTTCCTAGAAACAAAAGGCCAGTGACCTCTGACCCCACCGCACACCTGCCCAGGGCTGTGGTCAGGAGAGAAGCCCTGTGGGGACAGTCCAGCCCACCTGCCACTTACCCGAACGGCTCCGCCGGCCCGGGCTCCGGGGCCTTGGGGTGGCTTTTACACTTGGAGTAGCAGTAATACTCGGGGCCCCCGGGGCAGAAGCAGCGCACCCTCTGTGCGGCCTCTGCCTCAATCTCCTCCTTGGTCTTGGGGACGGAGTGGTGGTGGATGTAGTGGTGATGGACGTGCTTCGTCGTCTGCTTGGTCACGAAGCCCTTGGCCCCGAGGAGGGGGCAGCCGGCTGGGGAGGCAGCGGGGGGCAGCTTGCCCCCGGGCGGGAGGAGGGGGTGGTACAGCTGGGGGTGGTGGTGGTGGTCGGGCGAGTGTGAGCGGGGGCTGTAGCGGCCCACGCCGGGGGACTGGCAGCCGGGGGTCTTGAGGACCCTGGACAGGTGGTCGTCCAGAATCGTCTGCGGGTCCTCCTCGTAACTGCTGGAGGGCAGGAGGCAGAGGGGGTGTTGGGCGGGCGCGTCCCGGGAACCCAGTGCGAGCTCGGAGCCCTCCTTCTCTTCATCCTGGAAGGTGGGGGTGCTGTGAGCAGCAGAGACCCTGGCACGCGTGGGGTGGGGGTGGGCAGAGCAAAAGGCCTGGCGGGGTGGGGCCAGCACTACCTCTTGGATCTGCTGCAGCCGCTGCTCCAGGCTGTGCCGACTCTCCAGCTCCAGCTGCAGCTTCTCCAACCTGGAGATCAGCTCAGCCGCAAAGGCAGCGGGGTCCACGGGGGTCATCTCCTTGGGCAGGCGGTGGGTTCTCTGCAGGGCACGGGGAGGAAAGGGACAGGTGTGTTCAGCCGGCCGGGTGCGTGGTGGCCAGGGTGGCTGCGCCGGAGCTCCCTAGGCCGGCGAGGAGCTCGGTGGCTCCAGGTTCGGGCAGAGCTCGGCCCGGGCTGCTGGGGAGCTTTATGCGCTGGCACTGCGGCCTCATGGAGCGCCATGGTCCCCACCAGCATTTGCCTTGGGCAGGAGCAGTTGGTCGCACTCCGAGAGGCCCCGCTTGTTCTCTCTGTAGTACAACCAGCCCATCAGTAGTTACTCTGAAGTAGAAAATCTTCAAAGACTGTTGTCAAACATAAAAAAGGCAGCCTCTGTGGTGGGGAGGGGAGAGAGACCAACTCAAGGAATAAAAAGTAGAGTCTAAACAGAAAGGGAGTTGGAAATTTAAAAAAATAAGATTGGAAGGGAGGTGGGGGGGAGGAAAAGGGAGGGGAAAAAAGGAGTCACACGGCCAGATCAGAAGAAGCGGCACTTTATTTCCTGGCCGCACACTGCGCACCTTTGAGGTGGTGTTGTCTCAACACTGTCCTAGATCTGCCTGCTTCCCCCACCCCCTCCCCGTCTCTTTGTACAGAAAATGAAGAAAGCTGCTGCGGGCTAGTAGCAGAACACTGCTGAGTTTGGCTGCCTGAAGCTGCTCTATCAAGGGAAAAGGGAACATCTCCAAATCAAGTGCGGAATATAAAAAGGCACGGAGATCGCCTGCCAAAAGCAGCAAACAGCGAGAACCCCCACAGCCCGACGGCTTTCCATCCTCCTGCCATCTCGCCCACCCCTCCTCCCTGGTGGCTCTGCCTCTCTCCTCACTTCCCTCTTGCTCTGCCTTTTTCTTTGGGGTGCAATGGGGGTATAGCAGAAAGCCAACCTGGGCAGGCCAGCATTTCCCCCAGCAGCTGCACAAGTGAGGGGACAGACCCTCCCCCACCCCTGTAGGAGATGGCCCCTCTCACACAGGCTGGCTCCACACAGCCCCTACCCCGGGCAAGGGGCCACCTCCTGGGGAAAGCTGCTTTGCACACCCAGGGCAAGATCGCCTCATTTACAGGCCCGGGTGTTAGAAGTTTTCTTTATTCATGCACACACCCCCCTGCCACATCAAAGAAATTTGTGTATCATCAATACAGTTGTATTGGGGGGCACTGTTATTGAAGAGGGGGATGCTGGAGTTCCCCAGAAAAGCCATTTTAACATGCTAACTTCAGGACAAAGGAAAGTCTGCCCCAGACTGTGCTAGGAGGTTCCAGAATGAGCTACTGCAGCATCAGCCCGCGCACTAACGCTGTGTGGGACCAGCACCTCCGAGTGTTAATTTCCTAAATGCAACATTGCCCACGGACCAGCTGGACTCTTGGACACTGGTGGGACGGGTTGGTAAACAGAGATGCCACTCTAGACCGGGTACTCTCTTCCCTCGCCCCAGGAGCCGTGCCCTGGCAACCTGGATCTCAGAGCATCCATTGCCAGAGAGGCACAACTCCTGAAATGCGGCCTGTATGGCTCTATGAGAGCAGGGGACCACGTGCGGGCGGCCCTCCAGGATGTGGAACTGGAAGGGGAGGGCCCAGTTCATGCCATGCTGGCCTCCCATCCCAACCACAGGAAGAAGCTGCTCACAGGATCCCCACTTCCAAACACTCCATTCACTCAGCACACAGTAGGTGCAGATCCGACAGCAGGCACTAAGCCGAATTCTGGGGTTGGAAACAGACAGGCCGGTCCAGCCACCCTCCGGGGCTTCGGGAGTCAGCGGGACAAACAGCTGGCAGAAATGACTGGGCCACACAGTCAGCACAAGTGGAACGTCACAGGGATGGGACTTCCCTCCCACGGGAGGCAGGTTCCTCCAGCCTCCTCATCCGTCTGTCCGTTTGTTCGGTCAGCACGGGTCTGCTTAAGCACCCGGCATGTGACAGTGCCTGGGAGTATGGAAGTTCACGGAACAGACAAAGCTCCCTGCCCTCGGGGGGCTTCCACTCCAGTGGGAAGTGATCAGAAGCATGAACGGTCTCCTATCACGTTCTGGTTTCTGGGAAGGAACTGCTTTGGCTTCTTTCTCACAGAGAATTTTCTTTTATGAATTGAGAAAATGTGAAGGTTCAGAAAGGTCACGTTGAACTCCTTCCGCTCAGTGTCACACCCCCAGGAGCCACGTAGCACCTCTCGCCTGGTCTTCCCTCCCCCTCCGTTCCCTGGAAGGCCCCAGCACTGCCCCTCCTACCGTCTCTGCACACCCCCTCCTCCTCCCACCGCTTCCCTTCAGCGCTCCATGTGGCCAAGAGCAGCCGCCTCCCCCTCTAGACTATACTCACCGGGAAATGAGGTAGAGACACTTGGCCATTGGCCTTCACGCTGCGATGCATTTCTCTCTGGAGCTGTTTCTTACTCCCCACGCGGTACGGAGGGATTCCATCTCTAAGGGAAGGGGAGAGACAGAACCCGCAGGCTCAGGAGGAGGCTGTCAGCACGCAGCGTGCTCAGAAGCCACGCTCAGATCCTACCGACAGGTGGGGCCACACGCCACCACGGGAGTGCGCCCCCGTCCCAGGTGCCACGGCTGTTCCCGCCGTCCAAATGCCAAACCTCCTGCTCATCCTTCACTCCTCTGGAAACGGCCCCCTCCTGGATTGGGATCACCGACTCGGAAAGGTCATGGTAGGCCCATTCCTCAGGCTGTTCTCTGGGAAATGGGTTCGACTCCAGCCAGTCAGAGTGAAGGCTCCCCTGTCTTATGGGGGCCCCATGCAGCAGAGTCGAAGACCTCTCCGGTCCTCCCAACAGTCCACTGCCACGGCAACACACTGCCCTGACACAGGAAAGCAGGTGTACCTTAAGGAGCATTCCAGGGCAAAATACAGCGGGCAGAGGGGCCAGACCCAGGCGCTAGGAAAGCTGTGCATGAGTCTCCGACACCCAGCCTCCCAGGTATTTAATTCCAAAGTTCTTCCTCGTATAAATCGCCAAAGGGTACCTCTGGGGTCCCTTCCTTCCCTCAACTCCAAACCCTACCATCCCCAACCAACAAAGTCTCAAAAACATGACCAACATGGGCATAAAGACAAAGCCCCTACTGTGTGGCGTTCTGTGCCATTCATTCCAATATTTGGGTACCTACCTCATGCCAAACCCTGGTCTAGGCACTGAGTAAGAGAGCAGTCAAGGAAGGCAGTAAACAATGCAGAGGATTGCCTTATGAAGCTTGTTTCCCAATGGGGTGGTCCGGGCCAGTGTTTTTGCTTACTTTGCAATAAGCAAAAATGAAAAAGCAAAATCTATAGCGCGTCAGAAGCTGGTGATTACCATAATGAAACTCTACGGGATGTGGGCAGAGAGAGCCGCTGGCGGGGAGGGGGGTCTCAACTGCAAAGCCCTGTCCCCCCCCACTCTGTACTCATTGGCCGTGGGGCAGGCCAAGTAGCCCGGGGTGGGGCAGCGTCGGTGAAGCCCTTGCACAGACCTGCAGGAGGAGGGGCCTCTGCGTCCTTTGTCTTGTTTTAAAGCAAGTAGCAGAGGTAAGAAACACCTGCACTCTATTGCACTAGTCTTCACTAGAAACGTGACCTGGAGTTGCTGTGACTTTTTTTTTAATGTTTACTCTTAAAAGTAGTCAAATGGTCAAGGGGGGGCAATTTTCCCATTGCTGTTCCTCCTGGAGGCCGCTTATTTACAAAAGCCTCGTGTGCAAACAGCATCACACCAAATCGCACCTAGAGGCCATAAATACTGAAATTAGGTGTTAGGCCACCTCTCTCTTCCCAGTGTTCTGGACCTCAGAGGGGGAGGGGAGAAAGACTCGGCTAACTCAGCAGTGGGCAGACGCCGGCAGCGCCTAGAGATCTGCAGGGGTGGCCAGAGGCTGACCTCCGGCTGCGCACTCTCGGCGCCCTGAGATTCCGGGGGCTGGACGCCTGCTGACCTAGGCCGGAGAACAGGGCCACGCAAAGGTGGCACCACTCACAACAAATGGCGTGATCTGGGAGCCAAACCCTGCCTAAGAATCCGCACTCAAAGGATCACTGGGCTGAGGGGATGGGAGGAGATCAGTGTCTGAAGCAAAGACTTACACACGTGGGTTCTGTCCCAGAGAAAGGCCAAAGGGCAGAGGCAGTAAGCACATTGCGGGGGGCGGGGCGGGTGTAGCCTGTTGACCAGAGCAGGTCTAGTCGCCCAGACAGCTCCCTACTCGCCAGGCCTGGGACGTGACAGGCCCCTGACGGCCAAGAAGGATCCAGGTTCCAGTCCAGACCCTTGCTGACCCACTTGGAGCTCACTGACCGAAATTCGCTGTTTTCGCCTTGAGGTCGTTAATCAGAGGGGGCTCTCAGGAGCATGCCTGACTTGACCGGTAACCAAACTCCAAGCCAGGTGACCGGTTCCCACCCCAGGCTGCCAGCTCCCTCCACCGAGTCCCTACGGAGGGTCAGACACACCTAACACAGAATCCCACTCCATTCGCACAAAAGCCCCAGTCCACCACATCTGAGATGACCAGGGTCCCCATCAGCAGTGGTCAGATCCAGGGTCCGAGTGCAACCGCTGTTGGACTCGAGAACAGGTGTCCTCAGCTCAACCACCTCCATGCCCAGCCCCAACCGGAGGAGCCAAGCTTCCTGACCGAATGTGGGAGTACCCCTTCCTGAGCCCTACAGAGTCACCTGACCTTCTGACGGGATGAATGGGAGATTTGGCGAACATTCTGGAAAGCCCCACCACCACCACTTGGGACTCCTGGCCATGGGGCATGCCAGGTGGTTCCCAAGACAGTGACTCTCTCCCCACCTCTAACCTAAATACCTGTGGTATGGGGGTGGGGGGGGTGTCCCACAGATTGGGTCTCATGCTGGTCTAACCCACCTCCTGTGGCCCCAGGGCTACAAGACAAGATCCACACCCTTCTCCTGAGCAGCAACTCTTCTGGGGACGTGAGAGTGGAGGCCTCTGGTCCAGGCCCCTTCCTGACCATCTTGCAGGCCAGCAGTCAAGCACGCCATGGACCCCCCTGTGCCACACGCAGGGCTTCATGAGTCCCAGAGGAGGCCCCATCCCCCCAGGACTCTGTCCTCGAATGTCCCCCAGCGACCTTCCATCTTTCCTCCTTCCGCCCAGACAGAAATCAGTGAGTGGTAAGGCTTTTATACCTCATTCTTTTTCCACGTAAGATCGAAAGAAGAGAGCTGGGGGACACAGATATGAGGGGAAGGGGAAGCGGGTCACTGGCCGATCTGAAGGCCAAAGGAACAAATTATTTTTTAGGCACCCACACACCCCCCCACACACCCACACGGCAGCTGAAGGAGCCGGGGCAGGAAGAGAGAGATTTCAACTTGCAGAGGCTCAGAGGCTTGACAGGCGCCTTGAGGAAATGTGGCTTTAATTCCTCCCCAGCCAAGAATCTTCTTCCACAACAGCCCCTCATTCCAGAAGGGGGCCTCTCTCCTTTTACTTCAGGCCCTAAAGGTCTGCGCTCCGCTTCCTGGCCGCTCAGAACTGTGAGTGGACGAGCGCCCGCGCTTTGGTCCCGCCTTTCATTGTAAACATTTCAGCTAACGAGCCGGCTGCCGGACCCAGCTGTTTCTGGGGAGCAGGGGTTTTGAAGTGTGGACTCCACTTAGCTGCCATTTAAGCCGAGCCAATTAGCTTAGCCTTTTGACTCCGCGGTGCCCAGCCTAACCTGAATGTCGTTTTCCGGGGACTTTGAAATTGCAGGCTGATGCGCGCAGGCGTCCACTCGCATTTCCATTTGGCAGTCGCTCAGAGGGCCGCCTCTGATCACAGCCAACATCAAAAGCCTGGTTTGTAAGATAAGGTAATATTTGAAGTTCACGTGGATGCTGTCCCTGGTGTCCAAAGTAAACCCATAAATAAGATAAAAGGAAACAAAAATAAATAAATAAAATGACCCGCGCTGCCCTCTGCGTGAGGTGTGAGGGGAGTGTCTCGCACTGATTTCAGGACGCCCAGGGCCAACCGGCCTTCGAGCCAAGCCGCTCCTGGCTCTGAGAGCTGCTCTGCGCTGAAGTGACGAGACGGAGACGCTCCCGCGCCACCTACACGTGGCCTTTGCCATGCCTGGCCGCCTCCAACGGAGGAGCCACACTTGGGTGGCAAAGGGCCTGCTGTCTGCGAGGTGTTCAGTCCCCGGCTGCATCCCCCAGGCCTGATCCCCGGGAACGGCCCCCAACCCTCCTGTGCCCAGTGCTCCAGAGACGGGGGTTTAGAACTTGGCTGGGAGTCTGGCACCTAACTTCCAAAAGAAAAAAAGTTAGAAAGCCATTTCTTCTGAGAACGTAGGTTTCAGAGTAACAGGCCCATAAAACAGCCTTCTCAGAGGCCTATGATGAAGACCCAAATCCCAGCCACCTTTTTTTTTTTTTTTAAAGATTTTAAGAGAGGGAGAGAAACATTAGCCCGCAACCCCATCATGTGCCCTGACCAGGAACCAAACCCGCAACCTTTCGGTTTGCAGGCGGGCCGCTCAATCCACTGAGCCACACCAGCCAGGGCCCCAGCCATCTTTAGAAGGGTGCTTCACTTAGTGGGAAAACAGAAGTCAGCAGCAAGGCTTAAAGAGAGGCCATGATTTCTTCAGAGCCCCTGCCTGCCCGGGACCTCCAGGCCCCAGCGCACTGCTCCGTGGGATAACCGAGTGCAGGCCAGCCCTGCCCAACTTTCACCCAGGGCCCCGGGACTTCATCGGTGCTGTCGCAAACGAGACGATTGCTTCCCGGGGCTTGTATCTAATGAACTCCAACCTTCTGGAGTCTATTGAAGGCCGCCAGTGACCCCCACTTCCCCCTCCCCAGCCGCACCCCCTCCCCGCCTCCCAGCAGGGCAGCCAGCCCCACTTGCAGCCCCGCTCCCAGCCCGAGCTGGCCATTGTGACCAGGAGAAACAGCCAGGGCCTTTTCATGCTTTATGGGGCGCTCCTATTCACTTGTTCAGGGAAATTTCAAAGGGGCCTGCCACCCTCTTATCCCCTCTAAGCCTCCCCGGGCAAACAATGGGCTGAAAGCGATTCATTCGGCTTTTCATCCCCACACACTTTATTTCCCCCTCGGCACTCTCATGTGCGCCAGGCCCACAGCTGGCAGAGCTCTGAAGAGGGGTCTAATCCCAGCCCTGGGAATCCAGGGTGACCTGCCCGACACTGGGCAAATCACACACACTCAGGGCCAGCCAGCCAGAAAGTGCCTCGCGCAGCCTGGCTTTCAGGGCACTCGGAGTCTGCTGGGCAGGAGAGCAGGCAGGGCCCCAGGGACCCCCAGGACTTGGCAGCTTGAGACCCACAGGAACCTCTAAGCCCAAACGCCCACCCCAAACAAGGGGCTCTGGAGACCCATTCCTCCTCTACTACAGGCAGCCCCAGGCCAACAGCCTCTGGCCACAGAGAAGGCGGTCTTGCTCTGACCACACAGGCCTCCCCAGGTGGTACAAACGTGCCCGAGCGGGTCCAGCTGCCACGGTGCCCTCTGATAGCCAGCCCCTTGGCTGGGAGAAGGCTCAGCACCACCCAACGCCGACATCAGGAAATCAGATCCAAGGCCACGAGCACCCAGCTCTCAGAGCCCCCAGGCTCCTCCTTGTGGAGCTGGATTCTGGTTGACTCATCACCAAGCCAAGGTGGCTTCACCCAGGTGGAGACCACTTGAGACCACAGGGCAGGTTCTGTGCCCTCAGGAAATGGCTGCCGAGCGAGGGGTTTGCCCTTTTCGGAGGGATCTGCCTCTGTATCAGCCTGGACCTCGCTGGCCCACACCCCAAACGCTCGCCTCCCAAAACGCTGACTCACACAGGTAGCTTGTCTGTCCCGTGCTGAGAGCCCATGAGTCCTTTAGCTGAAGGGCGGGGGGTCAGAGCTTTAAAGTCACCCCTCTGAAAGTGAGGGGGTCTTTCTTGGGGGAGGGCATCAAAGAAAAGGGGTAGGGGGGAGCCCCCGGGGGGGGGGTTAGAACTTGCTTCTTCCTACCCCTCCCCCAACCCGTTAAAAAGGAAGCAGTGTGGGTGATCACTAGTAAAAATAAAAGAAACTCCAAGTGGCTCAAAGGTCTCATTATCAACTGGTCCTAATAACACCTCTCAGGCTGGAAATGTGCGTGCCTGGTGGGGGAGGGGGCAGGGGCAAAGGACTGAGGCTGTGTCTGGCCTGCATGGGACAGAGTTCCGTCTCTACCGGGAGGAGCTACGGAAGCCCGGGCCTCGCTGCCACCTAGAGGTCCCAGGGGACTGACTGCCCACCTTTCCGATCAGGTCTGTGGGGCTTGAACACGGACAGGGACCTCACCCCAGTCATTTCACCAGGAACCCAGAGTAACGCTTCGATGGGGACCAAAATGAAATGAGGGCAAGGACCGGGAAGCCAGCCAAAAACAGTCTCTAAGGAAACAAAACAGAAGCCTTCTGGTCTTACGTAAACTACCTTTGACTTAGGAGAGTCACTCAAGGCCCTTATTCAAATCCAATTTACCCTTACTTTACACAGAATGCTGAGACCCCCACGCCACCCACAAAATAATCAAAGCCAATGCAGTAATGCTACCTGTAGCAAGTACCCAGACGACAGCAAGCAAGCAAACAAAACGACAGCAGGCAGAGTGACCAGAGAAAAGAAAAACTATCACTGAAAGCGGGGGCGGGTCAGTCTGTGCAGGGGCAGAGAGCCCTACATAACCTCCTGTTCTTCGAGAAAACATACCACACACAGATCTCGGTGTTACCTATTTGAATCGAGATATAAATGATGCCCAACGCTGAAATAAAGAACAGACTAAACTGACAGTGACCAGAGTTGGGGGGGAGGGTATGGGGGGGAATGGGGAAGGCCCATCGAGGAACACGCATGAAGGACACACGGACAAAGCCAAGGGAGATGGGTCCAAGGGTGGGAGGCGGGGACAGGTGGGATGGGGGTCGTGGTGCAGAGCAAATGGAGTGCTTGAACGACCATAAGAAACAAGTAAATAAATAAAAGTTCATTAAAAAATACATAAATTATGTCTCCCTACTATTATTTAGTAAAGACAGAGCAAACACGCATTAAGAACTGTCCCCCAAAGGGTCCTTTTTCTCGAGTACGGATACTTAAGGAGCCGTCTCACTTACTTGGGTAGAACTCCTCACTCCTCCATGCTGGGCATAAGAAGCGCACCCTCACTCTGTTTTCACTCATGCCGAAATGCTGTTCTTTTATTAAAACGGAACGTTTCACCTTGAGGATTTCTTTCCCTTTACTGACAGGGGAATCCGGGGGGAACACAGTAAAAGCCACCAGGATTCCAATCAATAGTAGAGTCCCAAACCAACCTCAGCAACTTTCCTTCCAGATGGTTCCACGCCCCAGGCAGCAACAGGGCATTGGCTAATAAAAGCCTGATATTTTCAAACAAACTGGAATAGATAGTCCAGTTCTTATTAGGAAGGTGGAAGGAACGAACTCTGAGTAAGTGTGCCAGAGCTCGCACAGCTCAGTGGGTTTGCCTCTCACAACTGTTCCCTGAGTGGGAGAAATTCCTCCATGAAAACATCTGTGGAAGGGCCTTCAAAGAACATTTCTAGAACGGTGGTTCTCAAGTGGGCACTGGGTGAAAAGCTCTTGGCAAGTTCTGCCCAAGTCTCCTAATCAGAATCCCGAAGGTCGGCAGGAGGGGGCGGTGCCCCGCCCACCACACGCCCCTCCCCATGAAACTCTCGGAGAGCAGTTTCCAGAACTGCTCCAGAACTGTGAGCAGTTCTCCATCCGCAGAGACCACCACTGCAGGACCACACATGCCCTGAAACTGAACGCATGGTGGCCCTGTCTATGGCCTGCTGACCTCGCAGACCATCCTGAGGGTTTGGATTGCTTTCAGAAGTCCAAGCCAACCATCTGCAAAAGATTCAAGATCAGGTGGACTCTGGAAGGAACCCGGTCAAAGGGGTAGAACCCCGACCTGACATGGAGCGGGCATTCCACCAAGACTTGCTCAACTGAACAGTGTCCATTTGAACACGTTCATGAGGGGACACGGCACACAGCGGTCTTTCAGGAAACTCTGGCTCGCTGACTCCCATCATCACTGCCTCTTCCTTCAAAAACAACGAACACCTAAACACTCACCCTTCTGGGGCCACCCTGTCCCCCACCTGCTGGTTCTGCAGGTGGGGCACTTCCTCGCTTTCAAGACCAGCCAAGCACAGGGAAGGCAAGATGAGAACCAGAAGATGTGTTGTTAACTCAAGGAACTCACAGACATTCATCTTCACCTTCTACATTCCTTGACTTTTCTTCTGTTAAGGCGCCACCCGACCTTCCCTTTAAGGCTCCAGCCCATACCCCACCACGTCTCCCTCCTCAACCACCAAATACATGTCTACCAACGGGATGTGCAAGGCTGGAGCGGGTGGCTGAGGACTTTGCAGCGGGCCCGATGGGTCACAGTGCCAACCGTGCACATGATGGGGACACCAGAATACTTACACACTGCTGTCCGTCATGGACATGGAGTCATCAGTCAGTGCATCACTGGAGATCTCGCTGTCGTTGGCACTGGTGGCTGGCGCAAAGACGTAGCCAGAACCTATGTGGTATGGATTGACGGGCTCGCTCCTCTTGAAGGGCCTGCAGGAGAAGCACAACAGCGGTGTGTCACCGATGCTCAGCAGACACCCAAGTGGCAGGTGGCCCCGGGGGACACCAAGTACACAATCTCATGATCTGTTCCATGCCAACCTTCTGCCCAGGGCCAGATGCTCTCTGGGCAGAGGGCAGGCTGGGTTCCTCTGTCTCCAAAGGAAGGTCTCCCAGGGGACGCTACAAAGTTCTAAATACGCCCTCACACAGGGGAAGGGATGGCACTCTGCTCTGGGAGGGGAGGCTGTGGAACAAAAGGAGAGTCAGTGGACACGGAGTGTCTTCGCCCTCCCTGCCCTCTTTCCAAGCCGGCACCAGAGGCAGACAATGTCGGCCCCTAAGGTATCTGAAGCTTCCAAGACAGCTGTTAGAGCAGTTCTGAGATGCAAGTCCCTGGAGGCCTGGCACGGCCTTCGCATTTCAACCCTGGGCCCAGTGAGCTGCACAGGTGGGACAGAAAAATGCAAGACAGTGTTGAAGACCGGCACTGGTCTGAGCTGGGCCTCCGTGTGCCCTGCGCCCAGCCAGCCCCCTCCTCCCAGGCTGGCTGAGGCCCGTGGGCTTCAAATGAGCAGCACGGCTGTTTCAGAAGAAGGTCCAGGCCCCTCCTCCACCATCCTCGCCCCGTTTCAGTGGCCTCTGCTGCCCCAGTTTGCCCTCTCGATCTCCTCCCAGAACCACCAGTGTGGCTGTCCCCTGCAGGGGTTGAATTCTTCTTGTGCCACCAGCTAGGGACTTAAGTGGGGCAGGGGAGGAAGGGGCCACTATGGTCTTGGGACCGCAGGAGGGGCCTGTGAAGGCCGATGTTGCGGCAACCTTGTTTGCAAAGACTGGCCTACTCCACGGAGACGCCAAGTCTGCGCCAACAGCAAGGAAGCCGACTGGGGGGGGGAACAGGATGGCCCAGAGAAAAGAACCGACTCCCGCAGGCGGGGCCTATACAGACGGCCTTCGGTACAGACGGCTTCGGTACAGACGGCCTTCAGTGCAGACGGGAGGAACCGTGAGGGGTCGAAGCAGCCTTACACTCATGTTCACCGAGCTCCTCCTCACCCACTGTACATTTGGCACTGCTGTGGGCGTGCCAGCCCGTCTCTGGTTGTGGGGCACCCATGGCCTGAAAGGGGCGTGTCACCATAAACGGAGGTAGAAAGGGTGCCAGGAGGGAGGTGGACAGTGTTATTACTGGCCAATGAAAAGGGGCACACCTGTATGTATATACATCATCTCATTTAATCCTCACAGCCACCAGGGGGAGGAGGAGCCCCGTGCCCACTTTTACAGGTGCGCCCTCAGGGGTCCCACCCACGCGCAGCCCGGCCTGGACTGCAGAGGCAGCACGCGTGGGCATGGGATCGGTCTGTGTGGCCCTCTCTCAACCTCTCTTTCTGCTTCCTAATGCAAAGGCTAGCCTCAACATTTAGAAAGTTCTAGAATAAGAGTCAGCATGAGTGACGTTGTGGAGGTAATCCTGGAAGAGCTAATGACGGAGAGGACGTTTCCAGATGAATGGCCAGGGGTAGCTACCTGGGACAGGTGGGAGCAAGGCGAACTCTGAGGGGTGAGCAGGGATTCCAGGAGACGCCACCCAGGACCGCCGGGGTAGGGAAAGCGGTTAAAAGCCCTCCCCACACTGGGGAGGAAAAGAGTGGAGCTAGTGGGGTCACAAAGGGGTGGGGTGCGGGCTGAGGTTTTCCCAGCAACACCGGTGATCCAGAGGCCGTGCACCAGGCTGGACTAGAAGTGGAGGGGGCTGTGGGGGCAGGCAGTTTTTGCCACAATTTGGTATGAAAGCTAAAACGGGGCAGGCGCAGGACAGAACTGAATGGGAGGGAAAAGGAGGAAGAGATGGTCGGTCCCCATCTTTAAGGAGCTTGCACTCTTGTAGCTGGAATGACAAGATAAACAGGAGGTTACCTTCAGAGTAATAACATTTCAGAGTCAGAACGAGTCTTAGAAATGATCTAACCTAACCCTTTAGAAATGTTGATAAAAACTCAGAGCTACCACTGGTTCAGCACTTAATATGGGCGGGGCCTTTGTTCTCGTCACTGATGTACACAGTGTGCCATAGGTGCTCAATGACGGTCTGTTGCCTAGACATCTTCCATTCTCACACCCATCCCAGGAGGTCATAGGGCCCCAGGCAGGGCCCACCAGGCCCTGAGTGGCTACACCCATCCCAGGGAGGCCACCAGGCTGGAGGCTGGGCCACGTGGAAGCCACAGCTGGACTCCTTGAGGAGCGTGGTCAGCAGGGACCTCGATGAACTCTACTGAGCTGGACAGGAACACAGAGCCAGGTTTTAGAACTGCTACGTAGACGTGGAATTGACCTGAAGGTGCAAATGAGGAACACGGCACTTAAACCTATCAGATACCTTGGTCTGAGTGACCTTGAACTCTCACTCAGATGCTCTGGCCCTGTTCTCACATCTGTAAAGGGCAAGAAGTCTCACTACCTTCCAGGGTCTTTTTATGGCAATTAAGTGAGGATGAGGAATTAAATAAGATCTTCTATGCCTAGAGCTAGGCCCCATGTCCTCAGTTGGGGATCTCCAGGCCCCAGGGCTGGAGAGGAGTAGTGACAGCAAAGGAAAGACAGTTGGTTTTTCTGGAAAAAAGAAGGGACGTCAAGATAGCCTCCCAGTTGATAAGGGAACTCAAAAAGAAGAGAAAAGTTTGTTTGCACCAAGGCAGAACAAGAGGAAATGGGCTTTATAAGTCAGAAAGAGAAAAGCCCTTCATAATGGTCCAAGCGGAACCAGGGAGTGGGTGGGGCTGGGTTATGGAACTGCCCGAGTCTTTAAAATAGCCCAAAGTTCCCGGCTGTCTAAGGTGCTGGGCGGGGGGGTGCTGCTACTCAAAGCAATATGGACCAGGTAACTCCTTCAGGACCCTTCAGCCTTCAGGAACATGGTACAGAGTAAGTTTTGGGAGCCACTGATCGGGAACAGAAATCAAGAGGCAGAGAGCCAGTGCTGGCTCACCCCCCAGCCAGCTGGGGGGCCCAGGCAAGTCACAGCCCCCTGGGATGCGGGGCATCCACCTGTGGCATGCACAGTCCAAACAGGGCCACCTGCACCGAGTTCTCGCGGGCTCTGAAAGGCCAAACGAGAGCACTGTACTTTGCGGGGGGGGGGGGGGTAGTTACGGTTTAATAAAACTCCAAAAAACCAACCACCAACAAAAACAAAGAGCTCCTATGGCTCTTTTTTCTTGTGTGGTCTTTACCATGACTCATAACCACACAGTGGTGGCATGTTCACACGCTGAACGCCTGCCCCATGCAAGCAGACCGTAAGCTCCATGAGGGAAAGGGCCGACTTGTCTTCTTCCCGTGTCTCCCCAGCACCACACATGCGTTTGTGATGCGGGTCAGGGGTTCAGAACTTGGTAGAACCTGCTGAGAAGACCAGGACCATCCCATGGGTTGCTGAAAAGTTTTTTCAGTCCAAAGGCAGAGTATAAGATCAAAACAGCCTTAAATAGCATCCGAACACTCTTTCCATCACTTCAGTGTTGCTATCTTTGCGGTATTAGCACATCAGCAGAGTCCCAAATGTAATAAGGGCTATAATTCAACCTCTGCAGGGAGAAAATGACTCAACAGACATTCCTCCTCCTCCTCCCGCCCCCAACAAAAAAGACACCCAACTCAAATCCCAGGGTGCTCACCACCTTGCACTCCTGGAGCAGGTGGATCCCAAAATAAACTCATCTCCCTTTGTCTTCAAAATAGAGGGCTACTGTGGGACCAGCCGTTGAACACGGAATATACTGCCCTTAGCTCCGTGGACCGCCGGGAAGTGTCTGGGATTTCCTGCCATCATAACAAGATGAGGCACGGGATGGGGGCAGGGTTGTTGGGGGAGACAAACTCAATTTTTAAGAACCCCTGAACTTTGTCAAAAATCACCACATAATTTTTTAAAAACGGATTAGAGCTGTTTTCTTGTGATTACTTACAAAAAAAAAAAAAAGGAAAGAAACTCAACCAATGCTGCAGTAATTGTACCCAGATGCTTTCCGTGTTTCTTCAGGGCTGTTGTGCTCCCAGCTGCTGGCAGGGTTTTAAATTCCTAGGGAGAGTGGAGGCCTGTGGTACACATTTTCACCGGGTGGACCAACTGTGCAGCCTCCATGTGCAAAGAGCTTTCAGCTGGCAGGTAGCAGAGGCTCCTGGGACCTTATTTGTTGGGGGCATATTTGCTGCTTCTTTCACCCACCCTTGAGCCTATTCTTATCTCTTATCTCCAGGAGATGCTGTGGCCCCTGGCCCCTCCCCAAGCCTTAGGGCAAAGTCCCCTACAGAGAGGACAACAGAACTGACCTTTGGGACCTCATTCTGGGTCCCCTCTCAAAAACAATGAGACTTCAAAAGCACATGCTTCTAAGGCTGTGTGTTTAGGGTTTTCCAAAGGCCCTCTGACAATGTACTCCCAAAGTCACCATCCAAAGGCGACACTGTCTTCAGCACGCACTTTCAAAGGAGGACCGAGGGGCATTCCATGAGGGCCGGGCATTCAGAGCCCAGCAGCCAACCGGGCCCTGAGGAAACAGGCGGGCTTCCATGAGCAGGTCTTCGCAAAGTGCCTTCACTGGTGCTCCCATCCTCTAGCTGGGGCCTACTGCCTCCAGCATAGCTTTCCTATGGCATCATTTTCTTTGATAATTGAAGCCAAACCCGATTCCAATGGCTTTGCACAAAAACGGGCCTCATCAGCGAGCTCTTTCAGAGAACAGGAGGCACTTGGAGCCAGCAGAGGGCCATCTGCTGGGCCTGACTTATTTTAAGTGAGGCCAGAGCAGAGGGCCCAACGAGAGACAGATGAGACCCGCCTCGGGCAGGAACACACGAGGGCCGGCACAGACAGGGAAGGACACAGGGAGTGCTCTGTTCGCCCGACACTGCCTTCTCCTTCCCAAAATAAACGCTGGGCGGGCTCCTCGTCCCACAGCCCCCTCCACACACACCTCGCCACTCTGTGTGTGTGTTTGTGCGCTGGGGTTTTTACACGTGCTTCTACCAACAGGTCACTCCTGCCCCGGGTTATTTATAGAGACCATCAAAAGCCCAGGCCTCCCACTCAACCACTTGCAAACCAGAGTCCTTCCCTCTGAGGATAATTCCTGCTCTTCCGTTCCAACTATTTATATTAAACCTGACACCAAATCAGTAAGGACACAAACAAGTCATTAAAGATGAGGCCCCTTTGAGTGCCCAGGGTAAACACCGGGCTTGGAAGACGCCAGTGCTCTGGGCTGTGTCTCCCCAGCTGATGAAGGGAGACCCTCAGCGGGGCTCTTTTTTTTGTTTCATTCATTTGCCAACTTCACGAAAGCCCGTTCCATAAGTCAGGTGCCATGCTCGATGAGTGAGCGTGTTAGCAGGAGGAGGGGCACTTAAAGAGTTAGACAGGATCCCTATATCCCAAGAACTAGCTGGAAAGAAAGACTTAAGTTCAACAAGTTAGGGAAAAGATGAGACAAGAGACCTTATGATGAATGTGGGCCAGAACCCAAGAGTCACTCTTTGAAAGTGACATCTTAACCTGGTTGCCCTTTTCACCTACCCAACTGTTACCATTATTAAATTGTACTAATTATAATGCTTTGACATCTGTTCAAAACAGTTCCCTCTGCAAAGGGCTTTCATGTTTATTATTTTGATCCTAATAGCTATCTGTGATATACGCAGAAAGGACGGTGCCCACTCATTTTGCAGGTGGCACATGGGGTTCAGAAAGGCTTCAACCAGGTGGCAGTAGGTGGTGGGCAGGGCTGGAACCCAGGCCTTTAAATAATTCAAGACACCTCCCAATACTCTGCCGTACACCTGAATATCTTGTGTGTTCAAATGAAATGTGGATGTGGCTTTCATGTCTTTGACAATGCCTGGCTGAGATGTCCGGGCTTCATGAAGTCCTGATAAAAATGTTTCGTTTCAACCCAACAGTGGGAGAAGGCACACATGAGCACAGTATGGAAACTCAGGAGGCGGATGAAAAGGTGCCATCTCCATGCCGATGATACCCACAGGTCACGGCCAAGAAGCAAAACACCAGAAACACAGAGGGTCTGTGGCCCCAGCCTCCAGGATCAAAAAGCTTCACAAGAGTAACCTACCAGAAGTGTGATCCTGGTTCCATCCCAGCTGAAGCCTGTGGAGGAGGGAAGGGCACCCCAAGGCCGGGTCTAGAGCCCACTGATGAAGGGGAGGGGCTGCAGCAGGGTCCTGCCTTCAGTGCTTTCTCACTGATGGCATCCAAACCCACAGAGTGCTATTTGCATGGTGACACTCAGGGGTCCTGACACAGAAGCCCCACTGTTGGAAGGCCCCAGTGGAAGAAGTGTCCTTACCATGGGCCTTAGGGAGTCTCAGCTACCACTGGCAAACGGGAGGGCGATAAGGCCAGCAGGTTTTACTCAAACATTCACCTAATGGAATGGGGCAATAGCAGCCAGTGCCCCCGGGACTGCTCAGCCACGGATGCTAGACCCAGTATCTTCACTGTAACAACCTGGAACCATAAGCATCAAGATGCTGAAACAACTCCTTCAGCTGATCCAATGCTTCCTTGCAAAAGCCAATCAATTCCACTTAGGTGTAGACCAGATGTCTGTGAATGGCTCCAGAGAATATAAGCGCGCCCCCTGGTGGTCAGAGAACAAGCCCTTCCCTCCCTGGGAAGAGTCCCGGCCACCCCCTAAATCACTCCTCCTGGATTCAGACCTGGCTGCCCTGCCCCTCCCTCCTCCTGCTGCTGCCGCCAGACACTAAAGGCCAGCCTCTACAGAAAGAAGACAATTTTCCAAGGAAGCAGGCCACGTCTTTAACACATGGAGAAATATATCTTGGAGGGCTAGCAAGATAAGCCACGAGATAGCAATCAAGTAAATGCCCACCTCCTTCCCTGGCAGTCGGTAGGCAACAACCTAGAATTAAGAGGCTCACTCTCTTTTTGAATATTGGGGAGGAGAGACAGGGAGAGAAACAGGAAAACTCATGCTCACAGGAGGTCTGAAGTTGCCTCCAAAGGTCAAGAATCTTAAGACTTGGCCATTCTGTAAAGGACTGTCTTTGAAGCCTCCAAAAGAGAAAGCACTCCAGGGCCCCAGTCTTCTCTGGCCTCAAACCTCTGCTCCTTCAGCACAAAGTAACAAAATAATCAGCTGAGGTCTGCCCCTCCGGCTGCAAACACTTAAAACCTAGATTCATATACCAGCAGACTCTAAAGCTAAGGGTCCTTGGTTTGGGAAAGACACAGGGCCTTCCCTTTAAATAGGAGGGTTTCTCACTGGGTAAATACCTAATTCTACAGAGACCCACAAGACCCAATTGCTGGCTCTTATCTTCACATAAAAGTTCAAAAGATCCCACTTACCCCCACATTCAATGGGTACACACTTTATTTCCTGTGTCCCTACCACAACCCAGCTGCCTCCTCCTTAGCCACATTAATTCCACTCTCTACTGATTAGTGGTGAATGACCCCTTCCAAAACCGGTGCTTACTGTATTTGGTGACTCAGCGGCATCAAAAGCTGCTTTTGGTTCTCTTTCTCTCTCTCTCTCCCCCTTCCTCCCTCTCCCTCTCCACCCTTGGGAAGACTGGCCCAGCGAACTAAGTAACCTGCATTAATGACTACTGCTTGCCAGTGTTTGAATTGAGCACTGGAAGACTGCAGGCATTTAGATATGTGGGCATCACTCCCCCAGCCCTTAAACCACAAAAAGCAAGATCAAAGCGTTCATGGCCAGTGGTCCCGGCTCTCAACAGACTTTTGTCAGCCTCTGCAGCACATCCATCCAACCATCCACCCTGCATAACTCAACACATCTGCAAAGTTCCTATCATCCACTACCTACCCCTCACCCCCGGCCACTCTTACCTGTATCCATTTTCAACAGTTTCCGTGGACCTCACATTCGCTGTAGCCCTCAGAGTTTTGCTGGACAAGCCAACCACAGTGGGTGAAAGTTTGCACTTTAAGTCAGCACAAGTCCACTCTTCTTCTTCATTCAAGGTGGGGAGATAGCCACACACGACCTTTAGGCTGCCCAGTCCCCCGTTAGTCATGTAAGCCGTGTTTTCTCCCCCACTCCTAACATATTCGAGGTATATATCAGAAGTCAAAAACATCTGGTAGGCATTTTCCTCCATCACCGACTGGATCTCAGTCTGCGCCTGGTCAAACATGATGGAATCAATCTGTTGCTTCTTGATGCCATCTCTTATGTAGGTCTTGGTGGCAGGTTTCAGCTGCTTGGAGACAATGCTGTTGTTCTCAATGTACCTTTTGTAGATTGCTTTGGCGACTCGAAGAGTTTTGGTATCCTTCAGGTTCATCTGCCTGAATCCGTTGCAGGCAAACCAGAAGTCTAAGGTATCCACGCATTTCTCCCTCTCCAGGAAAGTCCGGAAGAGATAAGCACCATCTTGATCGCCCAACAAAGAGTGCAAGGACTTGGTCCACCTGGTCAGAGGGGAATCAGGAGATGCCCGTCCCTCGGGCTCACCCAACCCATCCTCATTCCGCCTGGTGTTGGAGGAGACAGGCATGGGTTTTGTGACCTGGCCCTTTCCCACCCCGGGCTGGCAAGGTGGGGTCTCCCCTTCTTCTCCCGGAACTGGGGGCCGGGGAGCATCCTCTCGGAAGCTGCTGCTGGGGTCTGGCAGGCGAGTCACCAACACAGCGCTGCTGCTCATGGTGAGCGAGTTCTTCTCACTGAGTTTGAGATTTTTTTTTCTTCTTCCAGTTCCTCTCAGCAATCAGCGTGGTCTCTCTTACTCTCTCAAGTCAGCAGGGGCTCATCTGAGCCTCCTTTCTGGAAAGAAAAGGAAGGGGGGAGGTAGGGAGAGAAAAGGGTATTGATCTAATCAAAACCAGATCTACCCAACATCAAAGCAAGAAAGTAAACAGGCTTTTCAACTCCTCGAATTCAAATCAAGCAACCCAGCTATCTGCGAGGTGCTCATCTAAGGTATCAGATGCTTTTTCAAAGGCGAAATCTGAGCTCCCTGCACTTGCGGGGGGTGGGGGGCAGAGGAGGGGGTTGGTTGAGGAAGGGGCGGAGAAGGTGAGATGGGAGGTGGGGGCAAAGAAGGGGCATGCGAGGTGTGAGACATAACCTTCCAAAAACCCACTCGCCCAGAAGCACACAGGGCAGCCGGCCCGCGCCTCCGCGCTCCTCTCCCTCCTCCCCTTGCCCTCCCTCCCCCCGCCCCAGCATCGACTCCAAACACACGCACTCCGAGCCGCAGGGCTGTGTGCAGGTGAAACCAATTTCGGTAAATTTCCCCACTCGGCTCTCCTCACAGATAACTCGAGCTCCAAACATGCCCTTCCCCGGCATCTGGTTCCCATTCCCCCCACCCACCCCTTCCCTCTGCGCTCCCCCCTTCCCACTCCTTAAAAATTCAGATCTTCAACAGAGAAAGAGGCCCGCCCAGCACCGGGCAGAATGGGCTCCCGGACTCCTAGCTGGAAAACGGCCCCCAACCCCCGAGCTGTAAACGTTCCTGCGCCCCCGCTTCCCGCCAAGAGTAAGAGTCTACACCTCTGTCTTCCCCACTCCCCCAAAACAGAAATCAACTCAATCAGATGACACTTTGATCTTCAAAACTTTGCGAGAGAGCAGAGAAGCCTCGGGGCACAGCACCCCGTCTCCCCCGCCCCTCAAGCCACCTCCCGAAGCCGCGAACCCTACAAAACCGGATCAGAAACCGTCTCACGCTACCACTGCCTATGCCAAGAATCCCAAACTCTACTGACCTCGATCAAGCCCGTCTCTTCTTTTCAAAAGAAAAGTCTAACCAATAAACAAGCCGCTTTCCCCAACACGAGTAGGGCTCAAGCTAAGAAGGGCCGGAGGGCGAGGGGGGACGGTGGGAGAATGGGGCACGACCCCAGTCGCGGGGCCGACACTCCAGCCCCGGAGTGGGTCCGTGCGGTCCCCACCCGTGGCCTCAAGCTGCCGGGCTGGGCAACTCTGTGGGCAGAATGGTGGGGCTGGAGGTAGCGTCGCGTTACCCTGGTGGAGGGGAGGTGGAGAGGCCCCGTTACCTGGAAGACGAAGGCGGCCTGAGGCTCTCATCTCTGCCGAGCCCCCCGCGCTCACCCCCCGGCCCAAATCCAACTGAACGAGTCCAGAGCGGTGGTGCGCGGAGCTGAAGCCCCGGGAGGCGCTCGCAACACCCCGACCCTGGCGCGGGTCGGTCCCCGGTGCTGCCGCTTGCAAAGGCACCCGCAGAAAAAGCACCGAAAGCAGCAGCCTAGTCCAGAAATGGCGACGCGAGAAGTCTCTCCCTCTCGGCAAAAAAAGGCCAGAGTGGCCGGGGGCGCAGGGCCCAGGCTGGGAGGAGGGACGCAGGGGACGCGGGCGCCCCGGGCTCGGGCCGCTCCAGCTCGCAGACTGAGCCTCGGCCAGCACTCGGGGCCCCTAAGCACGGACCAGTGGCAGGGAGGGGAGTGGGGAAAGAGGCGGGAGGAGAGGAGGGGGGCGGGAGGAAAGGCGGAGGGAGGAGGCATAGGGGAGGGCAAGTGGGGGGCGCCGCCACCCTTTCATCCCACCTTCCAAAGCCGTGCACACTCACAATCCGACTCACATCCCAAAACTACAACGATTCGCTCCCCTGGGGGGCATGTAGCCTCTCTCCGCCCCCGCCGTCTCTCCCCTGGGGCCCCTGCCACCCCACTGGGGAGGGGGCTCACGCGCTGGGCGCTCGGGGCAGCCGGGCCAAGCCCCCAGGAGCGCCGGGCGCCGGGCCCGCAGCTCTCCTCCGCGGCCGCCTGGAGCGCGCCCCGAAATAGCCGGCCTGCCAACTTCAAAGGGCCGCCCGGCACATCAAAGCGGGCGGACCGCCCCGCCGCCCCTGTCTTCGCACTCACCATAGATCCGCGCGCGCGCTCCGAGGCGAGACCTCGTAGGCGCCCCGGGCAGGGCCCTGGCCCCAGCCCCCGGATCGGCTCGCAGCAGCCCCGGGCCCCCCCGGGCCGGTCCCGGCGTCGGGGAACATGGGGAGTCGCGCGCGGCAGGGGAAGGGGGTGTGGGGAAACAATCCCGGATTAGAGCGAGATCCACCCGCGAAGGAGGGGAAGCTGTGCTCCCCGCCGCCCCTTTTATGCAAAAGATCCGAGTGGGCCTCCGCCCCCGCCGCGGCTGCCCCTGGCCCCTCCGGCCCCCGCCCGGCCCGGCTTTCAACACAGGTCCTGTTTCCAGCAGTCACTCCGCGCACCAAATGTCCTCCGGGCGCTTCCAACAAAAACTGCGCTGTGGATTTAACTGTGCACTTCAAAGGCGCGAGCCGAGCGCACGGTCCTGAAAGGGAGGTACGCGCCGGCCGCGCCCCGGGCCACCCCCGGTACCCCCATCACCCCTCCTGGGGCCTGTCCGGTGGCTCGCACCGTCCCTCCCGGGCCGGTCTCGGTAGGGCTGGACCCTCTCCCTTCTCCGGTGCCCTCAACGTGGCTTGGCGTGACCTCGCCCCTTGTCCCAGGGGGACTTTCTTTGAATCATCTCTGCAGAACCGCGCCTCCATCTCTACCTTTTATAGCAGGGCTTTCGGCTGGGGAGACAGGCTCTTTGGACGTCGGGCAGCCAAGAAATCCATTGCTGTGAGGGGTTATTTTTATTTCCAAGCTTTCTGGTTGTTACTGAGTTGCCAGGACCTTATCAAAGCGCAGCGGGCTCCAGCCGACTCCCCCGGGCCCGGCTAGGGGAGCCAGTGATCCCGCCGCGCCAATCACAGCCGCGCTTGGCCGGCCCGCGCCGCCCGCCTTAAAGCTACAGCGACTGGCGCCCGCTGGGCCGGGCCGGCCCGCCCCTGCCGCACGCTTCGCTCCGCAGTAACTCGTCCCCCGCCTTCCTTCGCCCCCGGCCAGGAACGCCCCCCCATCCTCGACGCCTCACCCCAGGGGCGTTCTTAGCCTGAGTTCTGATTCTGTCTTTCAAGTTTTCTGGGCTCTTTGCTCCAGCTTCCTCCCCACAGCGCCTGCCCTCGTCCTCCCCAGCTCTGGAAAGCAACAGTTTATTGTAACATTCTGGCCAACGCAAGAACTGCAAGCAAGCAGATTTTTTTTTTTCTATCATCAAACACTTTTGCACTTCTATTCACGTTTTCCAGGGAGTGTGGGCTTGGAGGATCTCCTAAGGAGATTTCTAGTCCTTCGATCTACTGGCCAAGTGTCATAGGGCGAATGCGGGTCTGGACTTAGAAGGCATGTGTATGCTTGTGCACGTGTGTATCTGAGTGTGAGTTAAGCCCACAGTGTCTGCATTTGTGGATGTGTGAATAGGGACGTGGATCTCCTAGCACAGGCCTGAGTGCTTAAGATGGGATCTGACACCTGATTAGGAAGCATGCATGCCTCAGTTCCCTTAAGATTTAACCCCAGCTCCCAACCTGGCCATCAGAACCGTCCCGTGCACACACCCACCATCCTTCTGTAACAACACATAGCAAACACTCTCTTGCAAGCACCCCCCATCCTCCCATATGTTACATATTAAACAGACATGGAATGTCTTTTCCCCTTCCACCCGCAGTTTTAATGTACTGAAAACTCCTCACCCCACTGTCGCCCTTGAATTCCTGCCCACATTCCCCCAATGTTCATGAGGAAACCTTCTCTTCTCACTTGACAGGACGAGAAAATAGGTCACAAACATAGAACATTACTCATTTACTCATCATTGTTACAGAATGACCCATCATAGGACAAGCTAATAATTAACTTTTCCTCCTTTTCAAAAACAAGGATGTAAACCAAATTCGTTCAAGAAATGAAGGGAAGAGCCAAGCACCGTTGGAGCTGCGCAAGGCTTCGGCTCTCTGACTGTACTCACTTTTTCTTTATTTACTTTCTTGTTGAAAGTAAAGGATGACAAATGCTTTTCCATACAGAGGTGCCTCTGACCTGTCATCAGGCCTTCAGAACTTCAAAACATGCAGGAAGGAAGCGACACCATCCACACTGGGCTGGAAAAGGGCGAGCAGCAGAAGCTGTGTCCCACACCCCCAGACCCAGCCCATGGGGTGGTGACAAGGGACTAGAGTCCTCGTCAGCCCCCCGGGTGCCAAGGCGCGTAGCATCTCCCTCAGACACCTGCCTCTATATGATGCGCCAGGCGGCCCTCTGGGCTCACCTCTCCAGGTGGCCAGGCTGGGGGGTAAAACCAGCAGTCCAGGCTGTGAAATGCAGCTGCCTCAGGGCAAACTGGGAAGACCAGGGAGAGTGTGGCTGGATGACTCATCTTTCCCTTGGGACACCGTGTTGGGTGTGAGGAAACTGGAAGCCAGTCCACTTCACGTCTGCTCAATCCAATAGCCTGGCCTTCCCGAATGTGGGTGGTGGGACCTGTGGCCAAGGGCACCCCCTGCATCAGCAACTCCAGGGGGCCAGGAGCAAAGCTGTCCCTGTGGTTCCAGGGAGTCTCCAGGCCATAGAGGGTGTTATTACAGGAATCAAAAGTGTATACGGAAGGGGATGAATTGCCACAGAAGCGTCTGTAATATAAACAGTTGCGTGCGCATGCATGTGTGCGTGTATGCACAGAGACGTGTTGGGGGAGGGGAGATAAAAAAATCAAAACATCCAAAATCAAAATAAACAAGGATCAGAAAGAGGAGGCTTTAAAAAAGGAAGTGGAAACTTGGTCTCCATGGGTGGTTTTCTTCCCCTCCCAGCTGTCCCCACTGACCCTGCACTGCCCCCAGAAGCCCTAATCATCACAGACCCGGCTCCCTCATTATCCTAGGGCGGCAGCAGAGGCTGGAGGTGGGGATTCAGAAGCAAGGCCTAGTTTGGATTAGATCTTCTCACTAATGACCCCCCTGAGAGCCTGGTTTCCAGAACAGGTGCTTGCTAACCTTGGGCCAACGCCTCCCCCTCCACCCAACTCCCCACCCCAATTTTATATCTGGTGGTTCATTGCCCATCCAGCAGGAGGCTGAGCCAAGGGCTGAGAAGCCAGGATCCCTCGAGAGCCTCCAGGTCTTTGACTACTTGTTGATAATATTTCTGGAGGAGAATCCAAAGTCCTCAGCTTATACCCAGCCCCTTTCTCAAGATAGCACAGTTTTCCATTTTCTCCTTCTCCCTGGCAGCGGGGATATCATGTGACTTGTAATCCTGCACGGTTGCCTGGAAACTGGAAAGCAAGGTGATGGATTTCTGCACATGCTCAAGCTCCCCCTCCTTTAAAGAAAAACCCTACAGAGGATAAACAGCCCGCTTTGCCTAAGTGCAGACAAGTTTAATAAAGCAGAGGGTAATTCTTTTCTGGAAGTATGTACAGGACTGAAACCCTAGAATCCCAGAAAACGAGGACTCAGTGCTCCCCGAGAGGTGTCTGGCCAGATCTCCGACCTCTTGCCAGCCCCGCAAACGCCCCTCTGGAGGGGAAGTCACACCAGCTGCCACTTCAGAGGTGCTCAGACCCAGGACGTTGCTCATTAAGACTCAGTGACTTTGCATTTCGTTTCTTTGGAAAGGTGCCACCTTAGACAATGTACCTTTGTTTACAGAGGGAGATGGAGAGAGATACAGTTAACCTTTCCTAAGACAGCAGGCCACCTGAGCGCTCTGAGTCTCCATGTGTTCACCTCTAGAGTGGAAGAAACTCCCCTCCAAAGGCTGTCCTGAAGATAGATAAGCAATAGGTAAATGCCCGGCATGACACCTGATACTCAGTATATTCTCAAAACATGGTGGTTACTTCTGCGTAGTTATTCTGTTTCCTCAATGGTCAATTACCTATTCTAGGAAGAAACTCCCAACTCCACAGCAAAGTCCTTCAACAGGGACCATGCTTCTGGGGGCGGGGCCTGGGGGCAGGGCCTGGGGGCTGACCAAGGAGGTCCTGCAGAGGTGAGGAGGGGTTGGGGGGGCTCTGCTGTTCTGCCATCTCTCAAACCCCATCCTACCCTGTCCCCACCCAATACCAGAATTTTTAGACAGGAGGTCCTTAAGGTGTTATGTAATCCAACCCATCATTGAAAGTGGGGAAATGAAGCAAAGAGGAGGTAAAGAGATTTTCCCCAAGATCACTTTGCCCACATTCGAGCTTGCAAGAACCTCTTCAGGGTCAGACTTCTGGTCCATTTTCCTTCCCCCCACACCACGGTGCAGAGACCCACAGCAGAGCTGGCTAAGCGGGGACCCTGAGCGTCTTGAGTCCTTGGCTTCCACGGCAGAGCTAGTAAACATGATTTGGGATGCTTTTCTACAAGAATTGCCACAGGGCTTCAGCCTGAAGCTCCACTGAAGCACACTTCGGTCAGCCCCTAGTTTATGTGTGGCCTTGACCCTGTGGAACCGGGCTCCCTTCAGCCAGTGCCCAGGTCATTCCAGCAAGTCTCCCACAGTGGCCGATGTTTCCATGGGCGTCTTAGTGGGGTTGGTCCACCTAAGGGAGAGCAGACTTTGACAGAGCCAGAGGGGAGGAAGGGAGGAGGAAAAATCAGACTCAACCTCCTGCCATCCT